ATATTCAAGGAACATTTTTCCCAAACCACATCCGGAGTTGTTGTGATCTGCAATGGAATTTTTGTCTTGTTTTGCGTAATTTTGTTCCTTTGGCAAATTTCACACCGTCTAATATAATCTTCTAACTCTTGTTTCATTCCTGGCCATGAAGTAAAAAGTTTTATTCTATCGTATGTCCTATTCATTCCTAGGTGTCCTCCAGTAGGCTTCTCATGCATTTCCTGAAATATTTTTTGTTTCTCGTCTTGAGTTATCTCTATCCTTTGTTCCTTGTCATCAGGGGAAATTTCAGCTACTTGAATCCTGCTCAGTGCGTCAGCATTTGTGTTCTTAGAACCCTTCTTGTATACGACCTGGTAATCATACTCCTCGAGCTTCAACCTCCATCTTAAGAGTCTCGAACTCGGGTCCTTCACACTGAATATTCATATAAGAGGGCGGTGGTCAGTCACTATTGTGAATTTTCTGCCGTATAAATATGGCCTAAAATATTTGCATGCCCATACAATTGCTAATAATTCCTTCTCTATCGTGGGATAGTTACGTTCAGCAACGATTAGGGTTCGACTGGCATAAGCAACGGGGAGATCTCTGCCTATAGGGCCTTGACTCAACACGGATCCGATGGCTTCGTTACTAGCATCAGTAGTTAAAACAAATGGTGGTTTAAAGTCTGGGTATTGGAGTATTGGCTCCGTCGATAATGATTCCTTCAAAGCGTTGAAAGCTGTTTCAGTTTTCTCGTTCCAAATGTATGGCATGTTCTTTTTCAGAAGCCCTGTCAAGGGTTTGGCAATTTTACTAAAATTTGGTATGAATCTTCTATAGTATCCTGCTAAGCCCAAAAATCCTTTAAGTTTTTGAGTGGTTGTTGGAGTCGGAAAGTTTTTGACTACTTCTACCTTCCTCTCATCTGGCTTTACTCCTTTACTCGCGATGATGTGTCCTAGATATGATATCTTCCTCTCATCTGGCTTTACTCCTTCACTCGTGATGATGTGTCCTAGATATGATACCTTCCTCTCATCTGGCTTTACTCCTTCACTCGTGATAATGTGTCCTAAATATGATACCTATGATACCTTCCTCTCATCTGGCTTTACTCCTTCACTCGTGATGATGTGTCCTAGATATCAGACAAAATCATATGCATAATGTTTAAAGTAATATATATGTTTGTTAAGAGGTGCATATATTACAATACGATTGAGAAACTGACGTGAAACGGAGTTTCGCGGATACTCTATACTCTAGACCGAGCAATGGGAAATAAATAATATTAATAACAATAATAATAACCCACGTCTGTTGTTCTCTACTTGACGACATTGTCAGTATCTGCACTTTATTGGGTCTAATGGTAGGTTGTCTCTTGAATGATACTTTGGGAAGGATTTAGTGAAAAGTTGTCATGGTTCTACTCCCCAATTTGACTGGAGTGACTGAAGAAAATCAGAAATAAATTTCCCTCGGAATTGAATGTCTGGGCTCTGTTAGCATTGTTTACCTCCATCAGTGATGTACTCCACCTCTCCCGCCCCACTTTAAACACTGAAACTTCAGGGCCTGTGCCCATCAGATTAAAAGAAGCTGTTCGTACTCCCATAGTCGGTTCCTCTTCTCTTCGTTGCTGTCTGTTGCTGTTTCGTCAGATAGGCTCGATATCACTAACCCATAGCTTCGAAGCTGATGGCCGATTGGAACAATGTCGAGACTGCGTGTCGTAGTTTGTAACCGACCACTGCCTACTCTCAAACAAACAAAACAAACTCCGTGGCCTGCAGTCCGCAAGCGGACTATACTGACCGAGCGACTGCCGCTTGTCGGCGAAGTTAGTGCCAATTTTAGGGCATAGAGGATGTTGCGTGGTCAGAGCAACGAATCCCCACGGCCGATAATTTCGGTTTTCTAGACCGGAGCTCCTCAGTTATCCCCAGGAGGCTGAGTGGACCCCGTTCCAGACCCACTACTTCTCAGAAGATCTGGTAGCACCGGGAATGGAACCCGCACCTCTGGATCTGTATCCAGGAACTCTGACCACTAGAACACAGAGGCGGTCATTTACTCAGGTTATGCTGAATTTAAATTAGTAGTGCAATTGATTTGATCAAAGCATTGCTAGGCAATAGCTCGGTGAACACTTTCCAACACACACCCCACGCAACAATAGAGGAAGCTGTATTTTCTATGTTGTCTACGTCACGCAACAATAGAGGAAGTTGTTTTCTATGTGGTCCGTGCCGAGGGGATATTGGAGAATAGGGGAATGGGAAGTCAGTTCAGTCAAGAGAATGGAAATACAGCGGCACACAGCAGTTCAGTTGTCGGTAGGAGAGGGCCACGGAAGTTCGCAGAAGAAAAATGAGAGGTCGGCCTGTCAAGACTTAGCGTGTGATTAGAAAATTTGGTCACAGTGAGACTGTTTTAATTCCGATACCAGAAAACGACTAGTAAAGACTGAGAATAATAGTGCGTGTTGTGGAGCAATTTTGAGACTAGAAGTCAAAATGTATTGCTTAAATGTTCCAAGACTTGCGACAAAGGTTTTACAGCAATTACATTAGTACGTATGTCAACACCTGGACAGGCAATCTAGGATAAGAATGCTGGTGATCAGCATTTATGCGTAATCGCATAAGTAAGAAGCTCCACCAACTGGGCCACTGGAGTATTATAATATTATCAAATACTCAGCGATGAAGTACCATGGGCCCACCCACAACCGTAAGGGTAGCCAATGGAAACCTTCCACCCCGAAATTTAGGACGAAAGGAGGAGTTAACCTCCCTCTTTCGTCAACCGCAGAGTCAGCAAGTTAAAGATATAAATTACTGAATTCAGGAGACTTAGGGATCGGATCTCAAACATAATATTCAGTTGTCAGCCGGAGGCTCTATTCAGTATGGGCCTTACGAGTGGTGGAAGTGGCCTGCGTCTTTTATTCCAAGTAAGTCACGTTTATCATATAAGCCATGTTGTTAAATATTATTGTTGATAAAAGTGTTGTGGAAAATATTGAAAGCAAACTCCAGTGTGCCCGGCGAGCCCTTAGGGGAGAATAATTATGTAACAAGTAATTGCCTAGGAAGATAGTCCGGCAGTATGGCTGTGTTATAGTGTATGTGTTAGGATTACTGGTAGTGTGTAGACTACGCACATTTGCGTTATAGTTACGACTAATGATTTTTGTGATAAATATAGTATGTGGGCTTTCAATATGTCTACTAGGGGTAAATTATTTTAAGGGTGAAACTTTACGATAGGATAGTGTACGAAGTAGTAGTATGAAATGAGTAGCAGGAAATGGAGACAGGAAAAAGGTTCATGTCAAACGATGAATAATGGCATATCCTCATTAGTCGAAACAGAGAGAGAGAGAGAGGCTCAAGGCCTACACCCCCGAAAGGGAGAACATGAGGAGGCATGAGGTAAAGACACTATGTAGTCCCGACTGTAGGTCGGCCTTGTTAATATTGTAAATACTGTAAATAAGAGTGTAAATAGACAGGGTAGTTAGAGTAGGATGTACCGCGATTGTGATTCACACCTCCATAATCACCTTTCCACGACCGATCCCGAGGATCCTACCAAAACGAAAGGCAGCAGCAGCCGAATGCAACTACACGGTTAAGGGGAGGTACTAGGAATTGACAGGGATAGGCACCTGCCACGCAGGCAGCGCTTAGAAACCCTTATATCAACGCCCCCTTAAGACGTAATAAGTGGTAACAGTGGAGGCTACCTCCACCCACTCCCGTCACTAAGACATAGTTGGCGACAGCCGAGAGATATCCCATCCAACCCTGTCGTAGAGGATAATATGTTGTAACGTGTTTCGTTACAGAAGACGCCGTAGAGATCGTTAATTAGTTTATTGAACAGTCTACAAGTAACGGCTACAATTACTTATCAAACAGTTGCGGGGTTTCACACTTTATAACCCTAATCGCATTAATCTGTTACCACTGTTGCGGGGTTTAACGATTTATAACCCTATGCGCAAATCAGCTCAGTCTGTCTTCAGTAGTCTACACGTTTACAGTAGGGGAGCTATGTATCACTGTATCACACACTCCCAATTACACAATCACACACACGTCCGGTTCTTCTTTCCGCGACGGCTGCTATACTCCAACTATAGTCGGCTGACTGGAGAACTGTTGATAACATACTCGCTCCTAGGCTTGCTCGGAACTATCTTCGGCGATGGCCACGTTACAACTCGGCGACTGCCCACATTACAACACGACTCGGCGACTGTTGTGCAGTTCCCTTATATAGCCACAGTGGTGCCTGTTGCGTGCCACGTCACAGGAGTTGTTGACTGCTGCCTAGCAACCGCGATATCCTTGGTGACGTCACCGCTGTTTACTCGCGTTGCATAGCTACCAGGATGCTGGGACTCGGCTAACTTCGGCTCCGCTCGGCGCGTCAGCTCCGGGGCAGGGGTCCAGCTAGCGCGACACGTCACAATATAGTGTGACAGTCGATAGGTAGAGGCGGGTCAGACCTGACACGCCCACTCTACGCCAATAATAATAGGTGACAGTGATGAAAGGGCCAGCCAACAGAGAACGCTCGACCACCGCGCTACCCGGCCCTTAGATTTTCATCACCCCAGTTAAGATATAAGATGGTGACAGCTTTATGTGACGAAGGAAGTCCTGAACCAGGAGAATCCTAGCTGAGGGTAAGCTAGGATTATTGTGTTAACTCCTTACAGCGTAAGCTGTGGCGGCAAGGAGGGGTACCTCCACGCCCCCCGTCACGACGGCGTAACAGTGCGTGTGTGACGGTGAACTGCAAATTGTGTGAATCAGCGACAGCCACGTATTAATTGTAATTAAGAGAACTTGTAACCGAAGTGCCAATAAATCCAATCATCCTGTCTAGAACCCGTTATTTTCGTCACGCGCAGACGAAGAGCTGTCGACTTATCATAGGAAATTCTTTGCTATAGATTCGTTGTGGTGTAAGTAAGTTGTTGATGTCTCTTACAGGCGTACTTTAAGGGTTCGAGGGAAGTACCCGGCATAGCAGACCCCAAGCTGAAGAACTCGTACATGAACAAAAGTTTTGTGACCCTGAAAGTCATGATTACATACGCCACTGAGGCAGTACGTCAGTTGGATGTGGACCACCGCAGATGTCGTTTCTGGGACGAGTCCAACTTAGAAGTCAGTCCATTGTACACGGTGAACCTCTGTTACGGTCAGTGTCGAGCTAAGCTGGCCATCGAGCTCTGCGGCTGCGCTCCTTTCTTCTACGTGGGGGTCCAGCAGGGTAAGGTGAACACGTCACGAATAAACGTACTCAGACGTACACAATTTTTGGAAATGCAGAAGAGGATTTTCTTCTTGAAAATGTTAGAAGCAAGAAGTACAATAAAAAGCCTCGACTTCACTTCGTTATCATAAACAAGGCTCCGATATAACCGTGACGTATGATACGAAAATAACACCTCCAGGATTTACATTGATTTGGTATCTATTTCAGTTTACTTTTCTTTCTTAATGAAAACAATTAATTAGAATAACAACATGCCTGTCCCCCCCCACCCTCTAATTTCGACTCTATCAATTTTCGTGGGGGCACGCCGTAGCGTAGTTGGTTGAGGCACAATGCTACAAGCCGGAAGGTCGCAGGATCGAATCTCAATGATGTGGATTTTTTCTGTTTACCCAATCCTTCCGGCCGCACTATGGCCCTTGGGTCGACTCAGCCTCTTCAACATCTCAAAACCTTATCGACCTCCAAGGTCTGTCACAGGGATACCTTTACTTTTTACTTGCCTTTAAATTTTCGTGAAATTTGATATCATAACCCATGAAGAGGGTGCAACACTAGCATCAATTTACGTAACGTCACTATATTTTTGGTGACAGATGTTTTCGAAAATATTGATCACTGATTACGGCGTCTTTCTTGTATAGCTTGAAATACCAACATGACGGCCGTGCAAAATAGTCAATTTATGTATGTACAGAGGGAGCCGAAAGTCAGATATCCTAAAACAATCTCTCGTATTAACGGGAGTGTTCAGGTTTCAGCCTGCTAGAATAGTGTCGCAGAGTTGTGATTTCTGCATTGATCACAAAGGAAATTTTAATGCAACTGTTAATGGCCGTGTAGACATAAACATGTCAAAATGGGACAAATAAAGTGAATAAATTAAGAGTTTTAAAAATTAAAAATTTCAATTTCAAAACTCCTAGTGTAAGTTACACGAAAGACAAAAACAAACACGTGTGCAGATAAGAAGACTAGTCTGGCTGCAGGTCTGCAAAGAAACTGAAATTCTGTTGACCAAAGAGTCACATTTACGTCGGCTTGCGTAGGTAGAAAACGGGTTATCCCGCATCTGAAGATCCTATTAAATGTCTAGCTAATTACATGAAATAGCCGATCACAGTGGCCGATCGGTCTAAGGCATAAATTGTCTTCGCCCGCTACAACCCTGGGGTTTTGGTTTCGAATATCACTTGAGGCACGGATGCCTGTTCGAGTTTATTCTGTTTGTGTTGTCCTGTTTGTATGCAGCGGTCTTGCGACGGGCTGATCACCCGTCCAAGGAGTCTTGCCAACTGTGTGTAGGAATAAGAAATTGATAAGCGGCCAAGGCCGAACAAAGGGCTGTACAGCCATAGATAGATAGACGGAAAAAATGAAATACTGAATCAATTTCTATGCCGTGAATTGTCTGTGAAGCGGTAGAAATTGACAGGCTGAGAAAAAAAAATAAGACTGGGCTATTTACGTTGCTGTTTGTAGCTGTTTCTTCTAATGTTTCGTATTCAGAACTCCATGTTTAGTTGAAACGTTTCTAAGCAGTTTAACTTGAAAGTGAAAGCAGGAGAGGGTAAGTAGAATGGGGCAATAAACCATCGATTTCCTTGGGCCCCTTTGACGCCATTTGGGATCGTCCCAGGTTATGAAGTAGGATACAATAAATAATTCAGCGACACTGTTGTAATAGAATCCAACTGGTACATAATTAACGAATACAGATGGGCGAGAATGTAAGATAACAGAGGCCTTGCCTTTACAAATATGATCATGGTTAATTTCCAGTATTATAGTTAGTACGTGTATGCGTGGTCTGACAATAAGTTCGCGAACTCATCGCAGTAAAAGTGTTACATACCTCATTGCTGAATATAGCTGTGGTCGCCTTCAAAGTACTCCTCTTGGGAAGTTACGCACCGATGCCAGCGCCTTGTGAACACTTCAAAACAATTTTGGAATTGCTTTTGCGGAATGGCAGGACTCATACTCAAGACAGACAGGCCTTCTTCAGATATCATTTTATGTGAAATGTAAGACACATGAGGCTTATGCATGAAATATTTCATTAAACTCCACACCATCGGTACTGCTTTGAATGTGACGATATCTAACAACACAGTGAGTGTTAACACAAATTTACTTTGTCAGAAATCGCCTCATTATATTCAATTGTGTTCTAATTCTTTTCCAGCGCGCTACAACATATGCGATGTACAAGGAATGCTTTGCCTAGCAGAACATGTCGGTATGTGTATTCTGACTAAACAGTATTAATTCTTATCACCACTGATATCACCACACACAATATCATATTTTCTCCACTACTACCACCTCTGTCTCCCCAATAATCCTCATATTTCTGTCACTATTAATAACTACAACAATAATAATTGCCAACGTCATCGATATTTTCTCTGTTATAAGCGCCATTTCTTTCATAATCACAACCACATCTTCACAATCTTAACCTAACTTTTTTTTATTATTACCAGCTGATCTGCTTCATTATCGCCTCTTCGTTTCTTTACTACCACAACATTTCCGCCACTATCACACCATATTTCCTTTATTTTATCACCACCACACTTCCTTCACTCTCCCCGCTGCATTATGTCCACTATCAGCAACATATTCTCACCACTATCACCATTACACTTCCTTCACTCTCCCCGCTACATTATCTCCACTATCAGCAACATATTCTCACCACTATCACCATTACACTTCCTTCACTCTCCCCGCTACATTCTCCACTATCAGCAACATATTCTCACCACTATCACCATTACACTTCCTTCACTCTCCCCGCTACATTCTCCACTATCAGCAACATATTCTCACCACTATCACCATTACACTTCCTTCACTCTCCCCGCTACATTCTCCATTATCAGCAACATATTCTCACCACTATCACCATTACACTTCCTTCACTCTCCCCGCTACATTCTCCATTATCAGCAACATATTCTCACCACTATCCCCATTACACTTCCTTCACCGCTACATTCTCCACTATCAGCAACATATTCTCACCACTATCACCATTACACTTCCTTCACTCTCCCCGCTACATTCTCCATTATCAGCAACATATTCTCACCACTATCCCCATTACACTTCCTTCACCGCTACATTCTCCACTATCAGCAACATATTCTCACCACTATCACCATTACACTTCCTTCACTCTCCCCGCTACATTCTCCACTATCAGCAACATATTCTCACCACTATCACCATTACACTTCCTTCACTCTCCCCGCTACATTCTCCATTATCAGCAACATATTCTCACCACTATCACCATTACACTTCCTTCACTCTCCCCGCTACATTCTCCACTATCAGCAACATATTCTCACCACTATCACCATTACACTTCCTTCACTCTCCCCGCTACATTCTCCATTATCAGCAACATATTCTCACCACTATCCCCATTACACTTCCTTCACCGCTACATTCTCCACTATCAGCAACATATTCTCACCACTATCACCATTACACTTCCTTCACTCTCCCCGCTACATTCTCCACTATCAGCAACATATTCTCACCACTATCACCATTACACTTCCTTCACTCTCCCCGCTACATTCTCCATTATCAGCAACATATTCTCACCACTATCCCCATTACACTTCCTTCACCGCTACATTCTCCACTATCAGCAACATATTCTCACCACTATCACCATTACACTTCCTTCACTCTCCCCGCTACATTCTCCACTATCAGCAACATATTCTCACCACTATCACCATTACACTTCCTTCACTCTCCCCGCTACATTCTCTCCACTATCAGCAACATATTCTCACCACTATCACCATTACACTTCCTTCACTAACGCTATCCTTTTTAGCACTACATATCCATAAACATCACCACATTTGGATAGACATTCTGACGATGGTGTATACTGTACTCCTTTTGGCTTATTTTGGACCATCCATCGTCTGGTATGTAAAAGACAAAAGGACAAAAAACCACGACGTTTCGGAGACTGGATCTGTCTCCGTCTTCAGGTGGCTAGGGAAGGATAAACTTACTCAGTTGGGCCCCTTGCATACCAGACGATGGGAGAAGTCCAAAATAAGCCAAAAGAAGTATCACCACATTTCATCCACCACCACCAAATCTACCGAGGCTATTTCAGTTCCACGGTAACAGAAATTTCCTACAATTCCTCTTTTTTTCCGAATCATTCAAAAACCCAAGCGTGAAGGACACTGCATCATTTCATCTCATCGGCACAAATTTCTTGAAGTATAGTAAACCACAACTGGCGAATGTGAAATGTTTTAAATATTTGGGTACCTTGTTAACAGATGATGGAAGGTGTACGTGTGAAATTAAATCCAGGATTGCCATGGCAAAAGCTGCATTTAGCAAGAAGACGAATCTTTTTACCAGCAAATTGGACTTAAATTTGAGGAAGAAACTAGTGAAATGCTACATTTGGAGCATAGCTCTGTAAGGGGCTGAAACAAGGACACTTAGGGCAGTAGATCAGAAACATCTGGAAAGTTTCGAAATGTGGTGTTGGAGAAGGATGGAGAAGATCAGTTGGACCGATTATGTGAGAAATGAAGAAGTGTTAATTAGAGTCAGTGAGCAGAGGAATATGCTACACGAAATAAGAAAACGCAAGGCTAATTGGATTGGTCATGTTTTATGCATAAACTGCCTTCTAAAAGAAGTTATTGATGGAAAGATAGAGGGGTGGATAGAAGTGACAAGAAGACGAGGAAGAAGACGTAAGAAGATGCTGGATGACCTTGGAGACAGAAGAGGATACTGTCATTTGAAGGAGAAAGCTCTAGATCGTATGAAGTGGAGGAATTGTTTTGGAAGAGACTGTGGACCTGTCGTCTGACAGATCACTGATGATGATGATGATGATGATAGTAAACCCTCGATAATCCGGATTAACTGAAGGAATCCATCCGGATTAACCTATGCTCCTGATTAATAAGGTAAAAGAGAGCAATAAAAGACAAAAAATTAGAAAACAAATAAATTAAAAAAAATAACAATATAGACAGTGATGATGAAAATAAAAAATATCACTGAAGGAATTTCTTGCAGAAGCTGAAATCCAAGATCTCCTTCATCCAGCTCAATCCAGTTTCGGATATTTTCTTGTGTGATTTCAGTCCCTGCAGCTGCCCTCAGAATAGTCTGAAAGTGCTCTTGCTCCTAAATCCCATGTTTCTTTCAAAGTTCAAAGTTCAAAGTTCAACTGTGAACAGAATTTTTCATATTTCGATCCGGATTAACTGTAACCGGATTAGCGAGGATTTACTGTAGTTGCAGAGAAATCCGCCACCAACGGCACCGGTTACTTTCCTGAAAAGCACGGTGCTGAGCAACGCCGAGGTTGGCAAAACAAAGGCTTGTGGGCTACTCAAGAGTAAAGAACCGTAGAGTATCTCATTATTTTGAATCAGTATTTACGTAGTTTCTACACCCTTTATAGAAAGTCCTGCTAGTCCAGAAAGTGCGCAAGGAACTGCTTCTGCTTCGCACCTTCAGATTTAGTGTCAAATCATTTGTAATCTGTGATTATGACATGGATTTTAGCCCTTCTTCATCTGAGTATGTTCATTCACAATATTGTATTTAAACATCCTGTTTCGTTAATATATCGTTTATTTCATATAATATAACTTTAATTGTTTCTTGCATCCTGTTGTGTATTAAAACAATATTAGGGTTAATTTCACCGACCACACAACACGTTTTTATTATTGTCACACTGACGTTTCGACCTCAAGAGGTCATCCTCGGGTGTACGAACACAGTTGCACAATCACACGCAATCACAATCGTCTTCCACTTATTTCGATCCTGTATCCTGTTCAGGCCTACGCTCAATAATATATGTAAAGTTCTTCTTATAAAATACAAGTTAGAATACTATTCAAATGTTAAAATTTAAAAATTAAAAATTTTAAAAATTATTTTTTTTTTGTGAGTCGAACTTCAATTTCGATCACTGGTTCTACTTTCACATTCACTTGTTTTCTCTGTGTATAGTTCACTTTAGCTAGTTATATTATTACCGCGTCCTCTGATGTTGGATCTGTTACGTTCATTGTCATGATGGCTACTGATGTGTCTTGCTTGTTCGGTTGGTTCCTGTAGGGTATTAGTGGGGGGGGGTGTTGCAGGTAGGGGTGGGATTCTGAGAAGATAAGTAGGTGGTTTTGGGATATATTATATTACTTGCGTTTGATTTGTTTTTATTAGGATATCATAAATTGGGTTGTAACTATCAGGTAAAGCTTCGTTCATTTGTAGATTTTGCTTAGTTAATTCATATATGTGGAAACTTTCTAGTGTGTTCAACATCTTTCCTTTCCTTTCTATGTGGAGTATTTCCATTGCTTTGTCTATGGTATGATAATTATGCTTTGTGTCCAGTATATGTTGTGCGAATTTTGATCTCTGCCCATTCGTTTTTATTTCCCTGATGTGTTCTTTGTATCTTGTTCGGAAGTTACGTCCTGTTTGGCCGACGTATTTTAGGTCACAATCTTTACACGTCATCTGGTATACACCACAAAGGTTGTATTTATCCGTCGTTTCATGTTTTGTTCTTAGAAGCTTTTTTATTGTATTATTTGACTTGAAAGCTATTTTTATGTTGGTATTACGAAATAGCTTAGTGATTCTTCTAATGCTGGGGCCGAAGTATGTAAATTTGGTCCATTTTTTCTTCTGTGGTGTGTTGTTGTTAGGTGGTTTCGTATTGTGATCTCTCGCATATCGTGAGTATTCATTATTTAGAAGTATACGAGTTATAATACCTTCTTCCTTTATTTTTCCTTCGTTGGTGTGCTTATATGTATCTATTCGATTGCGAAGGTAGTTCATAGCTGCCATTTTTATGTCCGTATGGATGACATGAAGTATTATGCAGTATGAGGTCGGTAGATGTAGGTTTCCTGTATATTTCAAATTTTAGTTCGTTGTTATTTGTTATGATTATTAGGTCCAAATAATTTAGTTTATTTTGAGATTTTTGTTCCATTTTGAACTTAAGTTTGTGGTGCATTGTATTAAACTCATTCAAGGTGTTCAAGATGTTTGTTTTTTGTGTATTGTAGATTATTAATATATCATCTACATATCTATAATAATCAATAATATGATGCTTCTTTAGAATGTCAGCAATTAGCATGTGTTCCAGATATTGTAAGAACACTTCAGACAGGATGGCTGAGGTTGGTGCTCCCATTGCTAATCCTTCGTTCTGTGTGTAATATCATTCATGGATGTTTACATAATTTTGTTCAAGTATAATGTCGAGTAAGTTTTTGAATTGTTTCATTTTGGTCCGTTACACTATCAATCACAAAGTTAATAGAAAGTCCGTCGAGCGTAACAATTTGTAGGTCACTCTTTTTTTATTATTTCTGCCTTACATGTTTCGGTTTGACACAACCATCATCAGAGGCACTTGCTATAATTATGGAAACACTGTCGCTGTTTTTGATGTTCACAATTATGTTTGTCGTGTGGACGCTGCTACGATATGTTGACGTGTAAAAGCACAAAACATGCTAAGATAGTTGAGTACACTCTCAAGTTCTCACTTTTCATCCGAACCTATTTTTAAGTTAAAACGCTAAAATGTTAAAATATTTGATATAGTACACAGCACACAGCACACAGGAACATATCAAATCATAAGCCATACAACCTCAAGCTGACGTCTCCCATCTTCGGGATGAATTAACAAGGAGGAGTTCAGCTTTTTATATCAAATATTTTAACATTTTAGCGTTTTAACTTAAAAATAGGTTCGGATGAAAAGTG